AACAACAACAACAACAACAACAACAACAACAACAACAACAACAACAACAACAACAACAACAACAAAACATCAACAACAACAACAATAACAACAATAACAACAACAACAAAAGTAACAACAAAACTAGCAACAAAATAACAACAACAACAAAAGTAATAACAACAAATACAACACAACAACACTAGCAGCAACAGGAACAACATCTAAAGCTGAACATGTAAAGAACCCGCGGCTATATAATCCTGTGCGTAAATTCATTACTTATAAAGGAGATCTTAGTGACGGGAGCCCAGAAGAGGGGGGAAGGAGGTGAGGGGGTGGGGGCAGAACGTGGAGACGAAAGCAGACGACAGAACATAGTTAGAGAGTAAAAAGGAGGTTAAAGTTAAAAGGAGACAATTTTAGAGAAGAAAATTTTTCGGTCGCTACCCGGATTCGAACCCGGGTCCTTTGAATAAGAGGCGAGCACCTTAACCTCTAGGCCACGAGAGCTTCCTGTGTGTACTTTAATTACATACATAGTAACATACATAAATGCACAAAAACACCCGCATACATACATATTATGACAGTGAAAGCGATTTAAGGAAAAGAAAAATGCGCGCTGGAAGTCTGGTCAAAAGAAAGTTGAATAAGCAGAAGTGGCCATACATCTGTCAAGTCTGGACAAAGGTCAAGGTCTTTGTTTGTGACGGAATGAAAACAAAGATCAACAGAGTTGGAAATAGATCCAGCAACAAAACATAGAACAAAACACTTGAAAATAGATCCAACATTTAAACAAAGGTCAAAACAAATAACTAGAAATAGCTACAGCAACAAAACACAGAACAAAACAGTTGGAAATGGCCCCAACAACAGACGTCATCAACAGCGGCACAGTGAAAGAAATGGTTGACGAGGTCTGTGAACAACACAGGGATTAACCGTTAACTCCTTGAGCCCTAGTAGTCTGGACATTGGACAATGCTTGGAGACGTGCTGTTCATTTAAGGGGCATGACTTCATTTATTCAAACATAAATTTTAATTTGATTTTTGCTTTCTTCTTAATATAATGATAATAATAATAATAATAATAATAATAATAATAATAATAATAATAATAATAATAATAGATAGGTAGACGACATGTCATTTGTATAGCGCAAATTCCCGCTCAACAGCAAGCTCTATGCACTTTACGATCTATGTTATTCCCCCCAACAGACTTGGTAGCCACCCGGGCAAAATTCAAAATTTCCTACCAACTGAAAACGTTAGGTGTGTCCCGCGCGCTCATATGACCTTATGCAGTTGCGAGCGCCGTAAAACACTTTACAAAAACAAACAAGACCTGGTAGCATTCTGAAACAATCTCAACTTCTTGGAAAACGTACAGTAGTACAAGTTGCAATTTTTTGAAACTTTCGAAGCCATGCAACAACATTTATAATATGACATATCACAAACTTATATCTTTGATTGGTGTATGGCGGTTCGAAATGTACCGAAATAGTGTCTCTGGTCTGCTGCTGATTGGACATAGATCTACCATGTCTCCGCCGCACCCTGAAAGAGTTAAGCGACAGTCGCTTGGCTCTGCTAGGGAAAGTCGGAGCATAACGTTATGCCTGTTGTTTTCGGGCTAATCGTATGTAGTACGATCTTTGTGTATAGATCTACATTATACCCAGTGCACACTGCCAATCGGATTGAATCGAACGGAGTCTGGTTAGCCAGATTGTCTGTCATGGGCCCATCATTGGGGGAGGGGGGGGGGTGCAAAGGGGGGGAGGGGCAGGTGCTACAATTTTGATGCAATGCGATCTATTCGATTTGCACTATTGATAAACAATTTTGATTTCTTATTATTTTAAAAGTCACAGTCGAATTTCGGTCGCACTGTTCCATAACGATAGCTTTTACCCCTACATGGAGAAAAATAGGGCTAGTTCCGATTGAATCAGATAAATATTTGATTAGCTGTGTGCACATTGTATAAGATCCAGATCTATATAGTTCCAGTCACCAGAGCGTACCACACTGTAGAATTGACACTTCTCAGCCGGAAAGCAATTCTTACACCGTTCTTTTGGAATTATTCTTTCTCGTCTGGACGGTCAGTTTGCTTGTTTTATCGTCACAGTAAATGGTCGCTTTTAAGGACAAGCGAGCTAACCCAGATTTCGGAGGTTTCCAGAAATCTTGACCTGCACCAAAAGTGGGCATTGCCCTATCTGTAGGAGAAGTTTGCTTTCTTTAGTGTGTATATTTGTTTGGTTTCAAAGAAAACTCTCCTTGTATTTTCAAGGAACTGAACAGGGGACAGAAATTTTACCTTAGATTTTCTCAAAACTTGTGCTTAAAAGTGACCAACAATTTCCACTTTTCTCTGCCAGATAGAGTTAATGTCCTACTTGATATGGTGCTTTAGGAATTCTTGATTTTGTTATTAGTTTGATTTAGTTATTGGGGCACAAACAGACTCTTTTGTGAGTTGCGCCCACGACCAAAAGAAATTAAGAAAGAAAAACAGCCGTCATGAAGGAGATACAGGATACCATCCAACTCTGTCTGTCTGTCTGTCTGTCTGTCTGTCTGTCTGTCTGTCTGTCTGTCTGTCTGTCTGTCTGTCTGTCTGTCTGTCTGTCTGTCTCTCCGAATACAGGGGAATGAGGAAAGTAAAGCCACTTGCATTGTAAATGAAGAAAAACAATTGTTGATTATGTTTTTGTGAGCAAGGGTACGTTTGAGAAGATCTTTAGTTTTTCTATCATGCCCAGGCCAGAATCAGATCATTTCCCACTGTCAGTGTTGTTGAAAGTGTACATAGAAAATGGCGTCACTAGGGAAAATGTTGAATGTGAGGCCACACCAGATTAAGTTTGTTCTAATTTTAAAGACTTGCTAAAGCCCAGAAATAGTGAATCATCAAAGGATCTATAACAGATACAAGCTGATCATGAAGTAGTTTCAACAATAAATGATGTTTTAGGCCCAAATTATGTATACCTGTTTGATAACAAAATCACAACTTCTGAAAGTTCAAAGGGTTCTGAGAAAAACCGAGGAAAAGAAAAGACTAGTGTATGTGATGGGATTGGTCCTGATTTCTATTCAAATGCCAGTACTACCTTGATAATATACCTGTGTTTGTTGTTTAATACCATTTTTAGCAGAGGAAAGTACCCCAAAAATGTGGTGTCAAGCACGAATTCATCCTCTTCTATAGAAATGTAGTCCGTCAGGAAATATGTGCCAGGGAGGTAACTTTTATTATTTCTAGAAAAGTAATTCAACCAAGTATGTTTTACTTTTTAAAAAGTCTAATGTCATATTATTATAAGGATTCATTTTGCCGGAAACACAATGCTAAAACAACTCCATGTTTGGTGTAAAATGTCAATAAGTCCAAATGCCCCAAAAAACTGACTAACATCAGATTCCAAAGTGTCATTACAAATAATTGAGAAAAACACTCAAAGAGGGTACGTGGGAAAATGTCGTGAGTACAGGTGACTGCCGTAGACGAATGGCTGTTAGAGTCATATCTAAACACTCGCAATTTGTTTTGAGAAATGTTTAATTTTCCTCTCTCCTCGTGGCAAAAAAACATTATTTTCAAAAGTTGAAAGGATAAATGTTTAAAGTTTCGTCGTTAAGAGCAATGTGTTGGTTGTTTTTTTTTTAAAGCTTAAATGTTAAGCTTAAAAAAGGTTATGAATGTGATGACAACAATTAAGTCTGAAGTATTAGTTTCCTTCCATACACTCAAACACAAGCAAGCAAGCAAGATCGGTAAAGAATTTCTCATTCTTTTTTTTTCTCTTTTTCAGAAAAGAAACGACCTAGAAAATACACCCCATGATGATTCCAGCGACAAAGACCATGCTATTCCTACTGCTGATCATCAGCTGCCTTGCCCCAGAACCCTGCCTGAGTGCTCCTACCGCTCCGGGAGACACAGACACCACAAGCGACGCCAGCACCACCACCACTACCACCTCAGCCCCACAGATCACCAGGTTTCTCATACCGATCGTGAACATCAAACTCAAGCAAGTTGATTGGTGGTCGAAGTGAAAAAACCTCAAAGAATACTTTTCTCATCTTGACAGTGAAAATAATTACTTTTGAGCTTATTTAAAAACATACTTTATGAAACGAACAGTTGATTACTTTTGTCCTTCCTTCTCACAGTTCTCTTAGGTTCATGATATTATGATGTGCACAATATTAGTAAAAAGCAAGTTGACTGGTAGTCGAAATGACAACAAAAATAATTTTCTCTTCTTACAATTGGCATTGGCAAAAATTAGTGTTCCTGTACATGATATAGATACACAAAATGTATATACTTTTTTATTAAATACCATCTTGATAATTGTATTAGTCCTTCTTACTCATTGAGCTATTATGTTCATGGTGTGATGGGCACGATGATCTTCATTGATTGTGCTGGGATTGTATGAATGTCTGCGTATGTGTGTGCGTTAATCTAAAGAGCCTATTCTTGCGCTTTTTTATCGAGGAGAAATGTGGTTTTCTTAGACAGTGTCCTTATTTACGTTCATTCTGTTTTACTTTACAGCCTCTGCCGAGAGGAGGAGTAAACGTCGTTCTCTTGTATGTTTGGGGTTTTTTAAATCGCCTATCGCACGGTGACACTGTTGTTGTTTTACAGCCTCTGCCGAGAGGAGGAGTAAACGTCTTTCTCTTGTATGTTTGGTTTTTTTTATCGCCTATCGCATGGTGACACTGTTGTTGTTTTATATTTCTCTGACCCCCATCTATCCATCTTTTTTCTGGGCCAGCCTTTTCCAGTGGCATTGTAACATTTCAAAAATGCCAAAAATGGTAGCAGAAAATGGTTGTCTTAACAGGTTATTGTAATGGACAATTGACCGTGAGAACAGGTTTTACTGTATAACATGTACATCATTTTTCTAGAAGTTCCAGTCTGTTGTATGCAGAGATCGACAGCCAAGCACAAAATGCGCTTCCTGACCTCTGCACTTTGACCATCAATGATTTATTTATAGAGGCACCAGCCATTCATGTCCAGGTGCTGTTTTAGCCAACCTCTGCACCTCTTACGTTGAAAAATACATGTCTAGCTGAGGACTTTATTCTTAAGTTTAGTAAGAGTTTTACGGCACTTGCTACACACGTAAGTCATACAATTGCTGAAGATTAAAGTACTTACTAGAGAGTAACATGGAAAGAAAAACAGAAAAATGGTGAAATGGTATGCGTTTAACACCCCTTTAACAACACTATTAGGTTATTTAAGAGGCGGGATCTCCTAATTTAACGTCCGTCTCCGATAGGATTGAGCCAAGTGGGAAGTTCGTGTAAAGTGCCTTTCCCAAGGACACAACGTCGGAACTAGCTGAGGCTCGAACCCCCGAACCCGCAATCTCACGATTACGAGTCTGGTAGCCTAACCACTAGGCCACCGACGCCACTAAAGAAAAACAGGAGGAGAGATAAGGAAGAAAAATGAGTTGAGGTTTGGTGGGACTGGCTTGTTTACACTTTTTTTGATACAATAATGAAACAATTCAAACTGTTTTCTCATGTATTTTCATATTTCGGAATAAACATGTTTTCTATAAACAGAAGTTTTTGAAATACTATACTGTGTAAATATGACAGTTCTCTTTCTGGGTTTTGAGCGATTTTTGTACAATATACGTGTTTGTGTCCTGACAGATTCCCCTAGCCCTTTCACCGAGCTAAGAGGTTCTTCCATCGCCTGGGCAAAGCTGTATAATGAATACTCTTTATTAAGATCGTCTCTTAAGACGCAAAAGGCCACAGGGAAGAGAGGTTTTTATGGGTGATCTGAAATGAGCTAGGGATAAATAAATAATGAACAACTACACTGTGCCAAACATTTGGAAAGCTGGATATACTGTGGTGATGGATATTGACGTTTCTGTGAGGCCGAAAAGGACAGTAAATTCAGAATCTAATCCCAGGTCATATAAGTGCCAAAGATTAGAGGTATTACGAAAGAGTAACATGGTACAAAGAAACGAAGGAAGAGAGAGAGAGAGAGAGAGAGAGAGAGAGAGAGAGAGAGAGGAGAGAGAGAGAGAGAGAGAGAGAGAGAGAGAGAGACAGAGAGAGAGAGGGAGACAGAGAGAGAGAGACAGAGAGAGAGACAGAGAGAAAGACGATAGATATATATTTGCCACTTCAGAGCATCCATCAACAATCCACTCTTTAATTATGTAGAGCACCAAATAACCCGAGTAGCGTAGTCACGATTCTGTTGACCCCAGACTTTAAACCACAAAACAAACACACAATTGTAACCGTTTCACGCCGCCTTCAACACAATTTAGCTCACGTACAGCATAACCACCAGGCCGGCGACGCCACCTACTTTCCGAGAGGGAGGAAACCCTTCCAAGCCGCCTACTGCTGACACTGACACACTCATCCCATTAGCTCAAGCCCCACTGATTACCGCCCCGGATGCCAGGAAAGCCACCCCCCTCCTCCTCCCTCATCTACACCTCCTCCATCCCTCATCCTCACTCCTGGCCTCCCCTCCCCGCCACCTCATCCCACCACTGTCCCCATCCCCCACCTCTACCCCCCCCCACACACATACACACAGTTTGTGGTCGCTCCAACCAACCAGTAATCAGATCCTGGGAATTTCAGCTAAAATTGTGAATGGAGCTTACTGTAATTGTTATTTTTGTGTGTGTATATTTGTGTGTTTAATTATGTGTTTATGTATGTATGTTTGCCAATGTTTGCCAGTTCTCCCCATTTTTCTTCCCACATTGCTTTAGACAGACAAACAGACACATAAACAGTGGGCGGTTGGTGGGCGCTCTGGTTTGGTATCCTCCTTCTGTCCTGTCAAACACCCATCGTCATTGTCTCTTCTCCATTTTTTTCTTTGATTGTTACTCTCTCGTAAGACCTCTGTATCTTCTGCACTAATGTTACCCATTTGTGTTGCAAGTGCCGTAAGACTCTTACTAAAACTAAAACAGACTAACTGATGTTCAAATAGACAATCAGACTGACAGGTAAATGTGTTTTCGGGTCCCAGCGTCTAGATCTAATACCTACGTTACTTAGCCCACCTCTTGATGCTCTCACCCTGTGAAGGCGTGCGTGGTAGAGGAGGGCAAAATTCGGATAATCAACAAAGATAACCGGATAATTCTTAATGAGACATTATCCGAATTCAGACTTTTTAACTCGCTTGCCTGACCCGTTTGCCGAAGTGGGTGCACCCATGTGTTGAAGTATTGCTAACCCGTTTGTTAAAGTGGTTCTAACCCATTTGCCAAATCGGTTCATATCATATTATTTGCCGAAGAGGTGCACTAACATAGTATCCGGATTTTGCTAAAGCGACTCATTGCCCAGCCCTAGTGCGTGGTAGGAGCTCTCACAGAGCGACCAAATGTTCTTTAGCCTAATCCCCAGATTTCCTCACACGCCTTATCTTGACTTCGTTAGAGTTGAGGGGTTTTGTTAGGACAAGAAGAAAGACAGGCCAACATATAAACTAGCAAAAGCACAGATACGCGGTCAGAAAGATAGACGTACAGACACCAAAATGCACAGAAACATGGACAGAACGACAGAAGTTCAGACAGGCAAATTGTGTACAGACCCATAGACAGGAAGATGGACGTACAGACACGGGATTATATAGACAGAAAGACAGACACGAACGAAGACAGGGGAACATACTGAGTTGCAAATACACAGACAGACATACGGACAGAAAGATGGACATACAGACGGGCAAATACACAGGCAGAAAGACAGACTGCACAAGAGTTTGTTTTATGTTTTAGTCAGGTTTTACGGCGCTCGCAACTGCGTAAGGTCATATGAGCGCCAAGGGGTGGATAACAACAGAAACGGGGAATCAGGCTTACTCTGTTCACCTCTCTAGCTTCAACAGCACAAAGTCTGCTTCGACGACCAAGGCACTCCGGAAACAGCAGTTCACACGAGAGTAGCAAACATACAAAAGAAGTAGAGGGAAAATGGCGATAGTAAGGATGAGGAAAGAAAAAGCAGGAGTTCCCCATATGTGGTTCTTGCACAGTTATGAGCATGACATCGATGAATCAGCCCATTTACAATTCTACTGTGCATAAGAACAGGTTAATATCCCTCCTTTGGGAATGGCCGAAAGACACTTCAGTCAGTAACACTGCCCTGGGGGGGGGGGGGGGGCTCAAGAGTTTGGAAGCAACAGAAGCCAATATTATTACTGTTGTTGCTCCTGAAATAACCTACATTTGGACTAGTACAGCGGTGATCTTTTTACTGTCTGAACAGACACAAAGACAAGCGAACAAAGAGACACTCAATTGTACTGACATACGGATAGAAAGATAGACGTCCATATATAGATCTACAAATATTCAAATATATAGACCGACAGATAGACAGACAGACACGCTGCTTTAAGAGTTTGAAAGCAACTGAAGCTAAGATTGTTTTTGCTCCTACCTGCTGAAATACGTTCGTACCAAAGAGGCTATAAATACTACAGTACTACACCCAAAGATACACGGTCTTTGCTACACCTACCCATAACCGATTTAGCTTAGAACCGTACGGTGATGACCGTTTCACAGAGCTGCCAACTGCTCTAATGCTCAATCCCGGGCTTTCTAGCAAGACGAGATCTCCCATCCGCTCGTTTGGCTGGTGGTCCGGACAGAGGGGGGCCCCACGTCTGCGCTTTAAGACGTCACTTCCCATTACCAGCGAGTCGAGACGGGGATTCCCGATGATTAGCAGCGACAAGATAAGGCCGATAGGTTCGGGCCCCGCGCCTAGAAACAAATTGACTGTGATTTTCCAGGCGTTTATAAGGATTCTGTCTGCTCCAAATTGCATTTCGAAAGGGGATAAGTAACCCACGGGTCTAGAAGCGTGGGGCGTTGGCGGTCAGATCCTGGGGCGATTGGGAGATCTTTAGGAGGTGGTGCTGTGGCTATTTGAACTACCATTCAACATTCACATTTTTGGGGGGGTTGTTATTCACAGCTCTTCTTAATGTAGCAGACAGAACCATTCGAATGACGAGTGATTGAATTTTTCGAAAAGGGAAATAAATTTGAGCGAATGATTTTGGTTCCATATTTCTCAGTCCAAAGCAGAATTTGAGCGTATTATTATCATTGTTATATCTTAGGCTACACCATAAAGGTAGCCAAGATACAACAATATTAATTTGTATTTGATGATTACTATATAGGGTGATAAGTAGAGCCCAAAAGTGGTGTTGGTTGCCTAGTGGTTAGGCTACCGGACTCGTAATCGTGAGATTGCGGGTTCGGGGGTTCGAGCCTCAGCTCGGCCCGACGTTGTGTCCTTTGGAAAGACACTTTACACGAACTTCCCACTTGGCTCGGTCCTATCGGAGACGGACGTTGACTTGGAAGTCCCGCCCCTTAAATAACCTAATAGGGTTGTTAGGGGCGTTAAACCCATACCGGGTTCTTTTTCAGAGCCCAAAAAGTATTGAATATCGATTGTTGCTCATGGACTAGACGAAAAAAAAAGTGAAAAAACCCCCGAAAAATAACAACAAAAAACAACAACCCATAAACATTCGCAGACGGTAT